GCTTGCAGGCTTGAATGACGCAATATTTAAGATGGAAAAAAATATAGTTCATGTCATGTCCTACTTTCTGCCAGTTTTGGGTACTGATTAGCACGGAAATTGTTCTTCCCCTTTTAATTCTTTTAGGAAAAACTAGTTGTTAGACTTGGCAGGGGGAAAAAGTACTGCGAGTGCAGTTGCTTCTGTTAGTGCCTAGAGAGCCTGGAGTAGCATCACTGCTAGTTCTAGATCCTGTTCTGTGTCATTTGAGAAATGGAGTTGCGGAGGCTGCTGGCTGGGTTTTGATCCTGCCAACCGGGATGGTATGTTAGAGCTGCTGAAGTCAGAGTTCCTGGAAAGGGCTTTGAACAGGCCACTCTGTTGTACTTCTACTGGAGATCTAAAACCTTGGAGGTGCACAGGTGTGCATGTTCAGGGAAAACTTGAAAAAAGAGTTAATCAGAAACAAGTCAAAACAGAAAATAAAGAGCATTTCTGGCTTCCACTGTGGTGTTGCTTCTTTTAGTCAAAGAGTTTGATAACTTCTGTAGACTGGCAGTAGGCAAGGTGCTCTACCTAATTAAGATGAGGTTATGAATCATAACTGAGAAATTAGCTTTCTGCTGAGCACATCTACAAAACATTTATATTGCCATCCTTTTTGTATACGCAAAAGTGTTAGTTACGTTGCTGGGACGTGAGGTAATTCAGGAAATGTTCCTAATGTACAGGGCACGGCAAATTTTCATGTAGCATTGAAGTATCAGTAGTACCTAGACGGGGTCATTTTTCATGAAGAGGTTTTTGTTGCCCAGCCAGCTCGTAAGTAGGAGCTACTTCTGTGGTTTAACTAGTGTAAGTGCCTTTCTCCTGTTAAAATTTTTGAGACTTGCCTTGTATATCTAATGAAGATTATAATTTTAAGGTATTAGGTTTTATTTTAGCCCTACCAAAGAGTGACTTTTGAGTTTGACACATCTTATAAGTTGTATCTAGTTGGTTTAATGAGGAGTCTAATTATTTTATGTACATTTTATTTAAATTAAAAAAACAGGAGTGAAGGCTAAGGTAGTGCCCTGGTATTCAACACAGATAAATGCTATCAGGGCCTATTTAATATATTTTTGAAGGGGAACGACCTAGTGGATTGCCACTTTGTCATTTGGTCCACTAGTACTTATTCTGGGAAGAATTTTTTACTCCGTAAAGGGTAAGCAATATGGAGAGGCACGCTATTACTGTTGAAGGCGAATGGACAACGCAAATATTTTATCACGGCTGGCTGTCCAGCTGGGTTTTTTTTTTTTTTTTTTGAGCAGTAGTAAATTCCTGACAAATTGCTTTAATTTACACACACCTTGACCTATGGGGAAATGTAAAGTCTCTTGTATTGGGTATGATAAGAATGGTAACTCTGCAGTATTGAGGGAATATCTAGTATTTTTAAACTATTTCTATCCAAGAGAGCATAATGTTACCTTCTCTTGGGGAGGAAAAGAAAAACGTATTGAATGATACTTGTTGTATTACAGGCTTACTATTTTCCACACTGCAGTCTGCAGCAGTGGTGGTGAGACAGCTAGTCGTTTGTGCTCTGGAGTCTCTGAGACTGTTGGAGCGTAACTGCAGGGAAGGTACTTTGCTGACTTGTCAGAGGATGGGAACACCAATTAAATATTCACTGCAGTTAATGTGTCTGGATATTCAACTGCTAAAGAATATTTCCCTTCCTTTTCGTTTGTGTGTGGTTCTCTCTCTCTCTCTCTCTCCCTCTCTCTCCCTCTCTCTCCTTCCTCTTTTTTTTTTTTTTTTAATATAGCTTGTTCTAGTAAAGATCTTGTTTTGTGCAAGCTTTAGACAATCTTCTATTTCCCCATAAAGAGATTTTTCCAGATAGGTCAGCTGAAGTTGACCATAATCAAGAGATCTGAACTTCCTACTCACAGATGTGACCTCCTCCAGCCTTTGTCAACCCAGTGCTGACAAGGGAGGACACAAAAGAAAGGAATTCTGAGTCTTTTATAATTTGGAGAAGAACAAAATCTTACTTGGAGTTGAACTACACTATGAGAAGAAAGAAGCAGAGTTGAAATGTACCTGCTTATTTGATAATGAAATGTCAGTTATTCTTCTGTAACTTAACAGTATACCTGCTGGCTTTCCCTCATCAGGATTCCTAGTGTTACAATAGTCAGCTTCCTTAAGCCAGCCTTAATTTTCTGCACTGTATGATCTGAGAGCAGAATCTTAAAGTGAGGGACACATTCACAAGTTGTTTTGTTCCACTCTACCGCATGGAAATAGGAGTGTGGTGGTGCAGTGGTGCCACCACCGAAATCCTGTAGCGCAGCTAGGTGAGCTGTATGGAGTCATGAGGAGGTAATAGTACTCTTAGTATTCTGTAGGCTCTCTCTAGTGATATAGAGCTCTGTAGTGGTGTGGGAGGTGACGTTAAGGTGTGAAGCTTAAAATAAAAACGTGGACAATGAAGAGAGAGGTTTCTATCGCAAGGTTTCTGCTTCTTTCTTATTTTCCATGTATGGGCTATAGTATTAGAGCTGTAGTTTTGAAGAGTTTTGTCCCATTTGTTATCAGCAGTAAGGCAGGGAAAGCGTATTGGTTTGCTGTCTACTTGTGTATTTTCCTCAAAGTGAATGTCCCATATAGGCTCATAGCATTTATTTGGCTTTGAAGTAAGTAAACAACTTGAAATGGGGATATAGTGGGCTAGTGTAATCTGTAGTCATTGTAGCTTGCAGTAGGAAAGTACAGTTAGAGTCGCTAGTAGAAATAGTCCTAATGCAGGTGAAATTCTTAAATGGAGATCCTACCTCTGAGGCTTTCTTAGTTATAGTATCTTTATAATCTTGACCAACAGCTGATTTTTCTGGATTAAGAGGCAAGAGCAGAGATGATTGAAAAGGAAGGGGGGAACAAACCTGGAAACAAGTGAGGCTATGGCTTTGACTTATTGTCAGCGTTTCCTAAACGATCACCTATTGAAGTATACGATCACCTATTGAAGTATACGTTAATCTATTGGTAAATGAGGTGAAGTATACGTTAATCTATTGGTAAATGAGAGGCTGTTTTTCCTTGCTTTGCTTGTTTTGACAGCCTCCTTTTGACCCTGACCAAGACCAGTTTCTCCTTCAGTCTTCTATTTTGTAATGACCACGTATCTTTGCATCAAATAGGCGTGATGTAGCCAAGGAACCTGCAAGCACTGGAATTTGCACTTGAAAGGAAAATTTCAAAGCATAAAGCGGTAAACAAATTGCATACTCTGTATGCTTACTGCCGTTTTCTTTTTTTAAAGCCTGTTGTAGAATTAGTCTGATGCTTACAAATATGTTAATATTGCCGCCTTTATGAAGGCAATCTATTTGGCAAATATTTTCCTCAAAAAGGTAGCCATCCCGACATTTAGTGAGTTTAAAACAAACAAAACTTCATGCTGTACTTGCCCCTTGGTAGCTCATTACATTCCCTGATTTTATTAATTGTACTGAAAACTTGTGCAGTGCCTCTGTTCTACCATTGCTTCGTTGCTGTCAGCCTCAGAACAAGGTAATGCAGATTACAGAATTGTGTTGCGTGTTCCCAAAGAACTAATGCATCTTTCTGGGTTTTATTTTGGGTGCAAGTGTGTCATTGTACTTCAGACTTTATTGAGGTGTTTCTTGTAAAAGCAGCAGTCTTTATAGTTCTGATGTCTTTGTTAGAACAGATGTGTTTTTAAGTGAAGTTATGTCGGGTCGTGATTTTGCTATGGAAAGCCTGTAAAAAGCTGTTTGCGTTTCAGTGCAAGCTAAGCTTTTGTTAGAAGTAAGTGTCTGAGATTTGAAGTGCGTACAGATTTCATAACGTGAGTCCAGTCCAAGTTGTACATACCCTACTGAAAGCATTGTGTAACATCCAGTGTGAATGGGCTCATTTATCAGTGTATTTGACAGCACATGCAAGTCTTTAGACAGGACATGTGGTCTTTAGATTGCACCAGAGGTTTAGCAATGCAGAGAGGGCTGTTAGGCTTCTGTTGGAAACAGCCAGTGATGACTGCTTCTTCCTGATGGATAAAAATTAAGTCTAATTGTTTGGCAAAACGGCCGAAACTCACACAACCAAGTAATCTTCCTTGCCCATATTACTGTATGGTAACAAGGCATTTATGCCTTTATATGACTAACTTAAAAAGGCGTTTTACTGCTTCAGAAGTAGAGACAAAGCGAATTGGAGTACCTGTTTTCTGGTCTGCGATGGTGGGATGTTATATGCTATGGAATTTCCTACTGTTACACACTTTGGTTATCAGTGCACTTTAATCTTCACAATAGCGGCTGAAATAAACTACCCTTGGAGATCATGCAGTGCTTCTCTTCTTTGGAAAAGCACTAATGTAAACTGTGGGCAGTCTTGACTTGACAGCTGTGCTGACAAACCAAAAAAAGATGCTTTTTGCACTAGACAGATGTCTAAGAGTTGGAAAATTTCCAGTAAAAAGCAGAAAAGCTTTATTCTTCCAGTATTTTCATATCACATGAAATATGGTTTAAATGAAAGGAATGTTTTCTGATGGGGAATATTATTGCAGAGCTTCTTAGCGTGCGGAGGATTAGCTTGCTAATCACCTTTCTGAGTAGCTAGAGTCTACTAGTTATGCAGGAAAATTCTTGATGTTGTGAATGGTGAGGCATTATGATTAAGGAAACTGGTTATTATTTTAACTTCGTTTGATATATTTGCGTGGAGCAGCTAGTGCTAGAATATTTCCAGCATTTGCATGCCTTTTTGTTTTAATATCGATGAAATACGTTGCGTTCAATCAAGACATTGCGTTCGTTAATGTTCAGAGACGTTGTGAAAGATCTTGTCCAGATGAAAAAGAGCATGAGAAGGCTGTATTTTAAAAATACACAATATAGAAAATAGCTCTTTATAGCAGAAATAATGCCTGGTATGCACAGTGGATTTTAGTCCTGGAAATTTTTGGGTTATCAGTAATCCTTTTTTGAGGAAACTAACACCTCTCTTTCTGCATGTACAGTGTTCCCTAGCATCTTCAGCCTTCCATATTTAAATTCTTTATAACCCGCTTCATTCTGTTAAAATTCACTTGAATGTTGGCCACAAGGTGTTTCTCTTAATTGGCTGTCAAGCTACACTGAGTCCTGCTTTCTTCCCTGTGATGCAGGGAAGGAAGAACTGCTGAAAGTTTAATCCTATAAACTTGTCTTTTAGAGTAACAGAGCATAATCAAGGATGGCTTGTGCCTTGTTCTGCATTGTTAGATGGTACCACCAAGCGTGTTTTGTGAGTTGTTAGGCAGTTATGGTCTTGGGGTATGTTATGCTAAAAAGGAGGGGTATTCACAGCTAGTCAACTGTGTCTGTAAAAATAGATTAAAGGTTAGGGTTGATACTCTTCCTCGTGTTTCTGCTTGCTGCTTTGAGCATTTGATAGTTGTGGCTATAGCTTTAGTTTGTGCTTCTTGAATGGTTCTTGCTTTTTTGAGAGTGACTTAATTTGTGATTCCTGTGGTTATGCAGCTCCACTGAAACTTCATCAGCTAACTAAATTTTTTTCAGAATTTAAGGATAACAGTGAAGAATGTAGTACAGTTTAAACTCGCCTAAGTATCGTGCTAAATTTCATTGCGTTGGATGAAGGGTTTGTTTTCTCCTTTTTAGATATTCTTCCACTCCTCTTATCAAGATGGAAAGCTCAGATTCTAGTGATAAAGGAAATATTGATCAATCAGAAGCACAACGTCAGAGTCAGCTAGATCGGTTAGATCGAGAAGAAGCTTTCTATCAGTTTGTAAACAACCTGAGTGAAGAGGACTACAGGCTTATGAGAGATAACAATTTGCTAGGAACACCAGGTAGGTAACGCTTACTAGAATTGCTTGCAAGTGATGTGTGTCCTTTTGCTGTTCTCCTGAATCTGTTTCACCATTTCGTTTTTTTGCTGCAGTTGTCTTCCACAGTAGGAAGTAGCTCTTTGTAGATTTAAATAATTTGAGGGAGGCATTGAAAAATGGAGAGGTAGTTAGGGTGATAGGGATTTATTAGATACTGAAGTCTAGTGTTCTCACAGCTTCATGGGGACATCCAGAGTTTATCTAGTTATGGACTCTTAGGCACTTTCGATGTAAAAGGTAGATCTCGCTTAGGCCTCCCTCTATGAAGACTTTGCACTGGTCACCTAACAGTGTAAAAACAGGATAATTAATCTGGTGCGACATTCTGCACGGGCATTTCTATGTCAGTTTTTAATTGATTTGCTTGCTTTAAGTTGATTCTTCATAGGATTATACTTAATTCAAACCAGTTTCAATTTGAAATGTGACGTTAATATGAACCTTTTTCATGCCTTGAAGGTATTATTTTGATTTTTTTTTTTTAAGCTATATAACTGGTATAGAATGAAGAAAACTGATGAGTTGTAGAGGTCACAGAACCCAGAAAGCACTTCAGTATTCTGAATAGATTGCAACTGTTAGATCCTTCAGCTTCAGTAAGAGTTACTTGAGACAATGGTGCTGGGAATGTCTGAGCTCCTCTTTAGCAGTCTTTGGCTATCTCGTTATGGCAGGATTTAATTGGGGGGGGGAAAAAGCAAAAGAAGCAGTCCCTTGTATCAAAGCATTTGAGGTGTGGTCTTAAGCTATGGATAATGCTTGTTGTATATATGATTTGGAAACATTTTTGGAAAACTTTGCTTATTTTCAAAGGTGAAATTACTGAAGAAGAGTTGCTGAGAAGGCTACACCAAGTTAAAGAAGGTCCACCACAGCAAAACAGTGATGAGAATAGAGGTATATACAGTATTTGTGAAAACTCTTAACTTTAGCACCCCATACGGACCTTAACTTGAGTGCAGGAGTGGAACAAGTTAAGCCTAGGCAGGTGCAAGGTGAGCTTTGTTTCAAAACTAAGTGAACGTTATGTCTGATATCTGCTGCAGAGATCAATTTGGGACAGATTTCACCCATAACGCGTCTGTTACATCAAGATAAAGTTTCTTTTAGGTTTCTTTATTTTTGTTTAGATTGCTTCTTGTCTGTTCCCTTCTGGGATGCTGTTGGCGATCCTTTTTGTTTTGTTCTGTTTTTCATCTTTCTCTTTAAAGGATGCTGTATTGCTTACATTATCTGCCCTCTAAGGATGTTGGTGGAGGACTCCTGGAACTTGTCACTGGGGTTTATTCTTCAGTGAGATGGGTTTGCTGTGAAGCTGTGCTTCAAGTGAAGGGTCAGGACAGACTTAGTTCTCTACTTCGCAGTCACTAGATCGCTTAATTGTTTGGAAAGAGCAACACAGAATATTGCCGATCTGATGTGTTCTGATGCTTGATACCTGATTGACTTTCCATTTACTTATGTTATACGATGCGTGTTGTTTTGGTGACGTTTGCTATGTGACCGCTACAGCCTCTCCCTGCATATTAGAAAAAAGTCCACTCCTGCTCCCTGAAAAGAGCTCTAGCAGATGAGAGTTGATGTTACATGTGCAACCACAATAGCGCATGATAGGATTAAGCACTTTTATACTGTCACTTGTTGAAGTAAGCAATTATGTTCTTGGAAAAGATCACTCCAAAATTAGTTCAGTACTCTAATTTTGGTAGTTCCCTGTCTTTTTCACAGGTGCAGAGTCCGCAGAAGATGTTTCAAATGGAGATTCTATAATAGACTGGCTTAATTCAGTCCGACAGACTGGAAATACAACGCGAAGTGGGCAGCGAGGAAACCAATCTTGGAGAGCAGTGAGCCGGACTAACCCCAATAGTGGTGACTTCAGATTCAGTTTGGAAATAAATGTCAACCGTAATAATGGGAACACAAATCCAGAAACTGAGAATGAGCCATCTGTAGAGCCTTCCAGTGGGGAGGATTTGGAAAACAGCCAAAGTGACTCTGAAATTCCAAGGTCTGAATCACCATCCGTAAGGCAGCCTGGATCAGAAAGGAGTGCTTCTGAGGAGCTAACAACTGAGGAAGCCTCGCCTCCTAGAGGGCAGAGGAGAGCGAGAAGTAGGAGCCCAGAACAGCGGAGAACACGGGCTAGGACTGATAGAAGTAGGTCACCTATTAATCCAGTGAGTGAGACTCCTCGCAGGGCTCATCACAATACATCATCTCAGACACTTGATCATTCCTCGGTAAATGAAGCTGAGGGAAGTTCTAGAACTAGGCAGCATGTGACCTTAAGGCAGCATACAGTGGGGACTGAGATGCCAAGTGAAAACGCAGTTCTGTTTTCAACCCCTGAAACCAGACCTGTTCCTCAAGCAACAGGTTCTTCAGAAACTAATGGCAGCAGTGAGTCTGCAACTCCTGGGCAGAGGCCTCCTACTATAGTACTTGATCTTCAAGTGAGAAGAGTTCGTCCAGGAGAATATCGACAAAGAGACAGCATAGCCAACAGAACTCGGTCCAGGTCCCAGACACCTAACAACACGGTCACTTACGAAAGTGAACGGGGAGGGTTTAGGCGCACGTTTTCACGTTCAGAACGGGCTGGAGTGAGAACTTACGTCAGTACCATTAGGATTCCTATTCGTAGGATCTTAAACACAGGCTTGAGTGAGACTACATCAGTTGCTATTCAGACTATGCTAAGGCAGATAATGACAGGCTTCGGAGAGTTAAGTTACTTTATGTATAGTGATAGCGATGCAGATCCTAGTGGCCCTGCTCCAAATCAGAATGTGGATGCTTCTGAGCCGCAGAATGGAGGTGGTGGTAGTTCAAGCAACGAAAGTACAGATGCTAGCTCAGGGGAGGTGTATGAAGGTGGTAACGAAGGTGGTTCGACATCTGGTGCTAGACGGGAAGGTCGGAATACTAGGGGATCGGTCACATTTGAAGAAAGTGGTTCTCTGCCATTCCTTAGCCTGGCACAGTTTTTCCTGTTAAATGAAGATGACGATGACCAACCAAGAGGACTCACCAAAGAACAAATTGACAACCTAGCAATGAGGAATTTTGGTGAGAGCGATGCTCTGAAAACCTGTAGCGTGTGTATTACAGAGTACACGGAAGGCAACAAGCTTCGTAAACTGCCTTGTTCCCATGAGTACCATGTCCACTGCATTGACCGCTGGTTATCAGAAAATTCCACTTGTCCCATTTGTCGCAGAGCAGTCTTAGCTTCTGGTAACAGAGAGAGTGTTGTCTAAACGAGATCTGAATTCCTGGCCAAGCAGCTAGTGTAATAGTGATGGGCAAAGAAGTCACTTCCTTTATGGCCACTTTTTGAGTGGTACCTAAATGTATAGTAATGACTTGGAGTGAATCTTCCCTCGTGAAAGCATTTTCTGAATTAAAGCTTTTAAAATTGGAGCATTTCTTTAATTAGGTTTTTCAAGGTCTAGTCAGTTTGTGATAAATATCACTTGTCCAAAGACATCTACCGGTTTAAAAATATGTTTTTCATTATGAAGACTATTAAGTTTTTCCCCTGCCCCCCAGGCCAATAAGCGTTTTGTCCTCAAGGTTGTACTCACGAGGAATTCTTCTGAGAAGTCGTCCCAGCTAAGCGTACATGAGTCGTAAAGGATTTTTTGCAAGAGATCCAACTACCCGACTGAAAAATAATATGAACTTAATTGCACACTTGAACATACTCTTAATTTTCATACTGGGTTAATATTGGACATGTCTGTGTAAATAACACTAATGTTAGCCCTTTCCCCATCACTATGGCACGCTGTAGGATGAGCTGTTAGCTTAATTGGGATATTTATCTTGTTGTGGAAATATAAGAATTGCCTATGCTGTTTAAATAAAAAAAAAATCTGTTTTAAAATTGTAAAGCTTTTTTGTAGAAGCTCAGTACTTTTCCAATGCACTGTTGTACTAATGCATTAAGAATTAAAATTGTACCATGCTTAGAAATCGAGAATGCTTTTCATACAAAACCCACCACACAGAGAGCAAACTAAATACAAGAGAGCTGCTTTTGTAACTGTGTACCTGTCAAGAGCAGTGCATATCTGTACTATTTATGTGAACAGCTACTGTAATATAAGAACAATTGAATTAGACATCTTAATTGCATTAAAAAATGGAAATTGAATGTTATAATTGCAGTGTTTTGGCTCAGTAATGCCACCAAAAAAGATGATAAAAATTTAGAAACTGTTCTAATGACTGGTTATTTCTTTGTATGGTTACTAATACGTAATAATACAGATGGGTATGTACCAGTTCATTCGGTGAGGTTTATGCCCATTTTTTGATATCAAATTTTATTTTAATTTTTGAGGCAACTCTGTAACTCTTCAGCAGACAAATACTGACTGTTGTTGTTGTTCTCCACCAGCTTCAACAATATTAGTAAACTCTGGATCCGTTTAGTGAACGTGCTGATACCCAGCGTGAGTGGCCTGTGACTAAAGTGCTGCAGAAGAATCATTTTAAGTATTAACTGGAAAGCAGATTAATTATTAGAGTGCTAAGTTAAATATGAAATTTGTAATTGATTACTGTAGTGCACTTAATGTTACACTTCTGGCAATTGGCAACACATTTTAAAAAAAAGGTCTTTGTACTCCTTTTGGACCGATTAAAGCCAGTTACACTTTCCATTAAAAGTGAGTATGTGGCATATTAAATTGAGAATTGGAAAATGTACCTCAAGACTCATCAATGTCAGGGGAAAGTTTCCCTTCACTCCCTCTATGAGCTATTCTTTCTGTTTATTCTTTAGCGATCCCCCCACCCAGTGCAATTATTTATTTCAACTTCAGGGCAGTAGTTATGAAGGGATATGAACTGCTCTTGCTGGCTATATGGGAAATGTTGCTTGCTCCTCAGATGACAGAAAACCAAAGCTGGCCTATCTTTTTTTTTTTCTTTCCCCTCCCCCTAATTAAAACACATTTTCAGTGTTTTATAGTGGTGGTTGCGTAAAATACAGTCTCAGCTCTGAGCCATTTTAACTTCTCATCAGCTAGTTAAGGAGTCCACGGTATCCCAAAATTCCAGTTTTCTTTCTACCTGTGTGTTTTGTGGTGTTTGGCTCAGTGGGAAACCCTGACTGGCTATTGAGCTCGCTTTCCTCCTGGTGGGACACACCATTGTGGCAGAGGGGCTTATGTATATTCTTTTTTAGGCAGAAGACTAAATAAGCTTGTGCCCTTAAATTTTTCCCTCTGATGTGCATCACTGTAAAATTGGAAATTAGCTATTTCAGGTGCCGGACTCTCATGAATGTAGATGATGTACTTTATGCCAAAATTTCCTCAGCAAAATAACACTTCTGAATTTCTTCCAGTAGCATACACGTAGCAAATGCATGCTACCAGCTGCAGCTTCCCAGTAGCTTTGCTGGCTTACTGGAGAGTAGAATTAGAAGGGGAAAAAAAAACCCTTCCTCTACGTGAATATGTTTTAGATTTTGGAAATCTGAGCTACATCGCTGAGGACTAAGGATGGTGACCAGAAAGAAAGGAGCCCACTAGTGCTAATTAATGTGAAGCACGGCTGTGATACGTGTCATTCGGCATAACTTTCTTTTTAATGTTCTAAGTTTCCAATAACTGTACACTTCGATAGAATCGACTTTACAGTTTTGTTTTAGCTTAATAGTGGCATGCCTTAACATTTTATCTTCATGTAACAATAGCAACAACAAATAAAACGTTGGAGGTTTCCCAAATGGTACCAAGAACAAGTAATTTAACCTCAGTTAAGAAGCCCTTGAATGTTCTAACTCTTTTATGTGCCTTTGCGGACGCTGAGCGTGCTAAAGGCGCTGGGGCTCACTTGCCCGACTTCCAGAGACGGGTTAGCAGGAAGGACATTGCTGCTGCAGCGAAGGCCTTTCGGAGTAGCCGAGTCGTCTGCTGATGGGGCTGAGCAGTGTCCCGACCGCTCCGAGGTGCACGCGGGAGCTCAGTGGTGTTCACGAATGCCTTTGGAGCGTACCGTGCACAAAACACAAATTTTATATCAAAGTCATAGGTCTTGAGGGCCGGCAACGAGAATTTTTAAGTGCTACCGTGTCATGCCCTAGTATCTTGAGATAATTTCTCGTCTTTTAAAGTTCTATTGGAATTTGGAAAAGCCAGTATTAGCACGTTAATTGCTAACAAAATATAAACGCCTGTCTTGATTTAGCAAGGTTAGCATTTAGCCTAATTTACTGTTTATGAATCATTTCGGTATTGAGCCCTTTTGCTTACACCTTCCCTAAATTCAAGCTTCCTTGTTTTAGCGTTGCTATTACAGGGGGGATGCAGCTGCTTTGCTCATGCTTCTAGCCATCGGAAGGGTTAAAATGGTTATTTTTTTGTAATTTTCCAATGCCTGATTGGACAGAAAGGAGTGTTGGGCAGAGGCAGCCTTGTTGCATCAACTCCCTAGTTCATAGTGCCACCTTGTGGGAGCCTCTCTTACCCTTCCTTCAAAGCCAGGATAAAGCTGCATCTTGTCTCTTAGAGCAACATGGTTCCTTTCACATTGAAGGCTTTTGCTTTATTTTAATTTTGAAGGAGTTCCCCGGTTGCTGCCTGCTTAACTAGAGTTGTGGTGGTGGGTTTTTAACGGCAAGCCAGACTAGCTCATATTGTGAATACCTGTCTGTCTGCGTGTGAGCTTAATTCCGTTCTTGCAGGACAGATCTGTGTCCCTAGGACCTCCATGCATGGCTATTAAAGCAGTCGTGAGGCCAAAACCTAGATGAATGCACGCTTTTTTATATATAAGAGTGCAGTGGACAGTTTAACTTAATTTGTAAACCAATAATGAGTTGAGGGTGCTTGCCTTTTTTTTTTTTTTTTTAAGGGCTTTATTCATTAAAAGACTGTGAAGAGTAATTCCTGAGGTTTGTTAGACTTTCCTTTTACACGCACTTTTTTATTACTTAAGTTGGGTTTTTTGCAAAGAGCTTGTAGGCAGTTAATTGATTTGTTTTCAGAATGATTTGACTCATGTAGCTACTGCATGCATAGAAATTACTCATTAAAAGTTTAAAGACTTTTTGTAGGAAGTATTAATGTGCGTGCATAGCAGCTGCACTAACATGATACCGTACCAGTTTTGAAGGAGCCATAATTGTTCATTGTGTCAACTTGCAAACTAATGTATTTCCCACTAATGTTGACACAATGGGCCATAATGACTGTCATTCCAGTTTCCCCTCACTTAGCTGGATTATGCAAATATGTGGAGTCCAAAGGACTGTTTCCCTAGTATAATTGCAGTGGATGTTTATCTCGAAATGGTCGCCTACACAACGGGGAGATTCAAAGTGCTGCCGTAATAACGCGGGTCTAACTCCAAGATGAGAAAAGAAACACAGTTGAGGCTGACCATTGGTTGGCAGTGTCACTAGGTGTTTCCTGAATCTCCCGGCATGACCTTAGTCATCACAGTGCAATGCACAGGTTCATCCAGTTGGCTTAAGCCACAGCCTTATCTTTAACTTGAGATCCTTCTTATTACTGTAATGTGTACATTTGTATAACTGTCTGGTGTCTTGGCTTTTTCACCATTGGTCCTTGCTCCTGCTGTGGGACCTCGCTTGACCGAGGGTGTACGATCAAATGTTGAGCTGCCGAGGTATGCAGTCGTTACGGAAATGTCTGCCTGCTCCTCTGGCTTCTCCTGGGAGGAGTCGCTTTCTATGGGGGTTGGCTTGGAGCCATGTTAAGGGAATTTGTAACAAATTCAGAAATATTTCAAATTTTTACAGACGCTAGGCTTTTGGTTTGTTTATCCTTGACGAGGGAGGGAAGGAGGAGCGTGAAGAGACAGAATCAGTGATAACTTACCCAAGGTACATTTAAGCTATGTTGTGTTTGTTTGTTTGTTTTTTTTAAGAGAAAGAAAAGAAATTTGCATCTGTTATACCAGGGCTTCCCAACCTCTTTTTGATATGAGGTACCTTGTATCCTTTTCTTTTTTTTTTTTTCTTATGGGGGAAACAAACTATTCAATTTGTTTTGATTATCTTATCTGGTTTTGTTCCCTTAAGCTAAAACACCCAAGACCCTTTCCTGAATGTTACTATCTGCTAGTAAGGCTGTTGGTTGGGAAGCCCTGAATTAAACTGAGAATGTAATGATTTTCCTTTCTTTTTTTTTTTTTTCTGGTACAGTGCTTTACATCTGTTTATACTGGACTTGTTTAGTACAAAATGGTACTCTGAGGTCATCAGACAACAGTTTGACCAGATTTGATAGCTGACATTTAGGAGGAGTTTGTTCCCTATGTAAGATGTCATAATGCACATTTAAATAGACTCAATAAAATGCATGAAGTGATAATTTTGTGCTTGATCATCACTCCTTGGCTTTATTCTTCTTATGGTGGGAAAGGACGGGAGTACATTACGATGGATGTGATAGGAATTTACTTCAGTTGTATACCTCCTCCCTTGAGGCTGGATGGAAAGAAAAGAACTGGAATGGTATCTAGTTAAGTCCTCAGAAGAAATTATTGCTCCTTCTTAGTTCGTAAAGCTGAAGGAATAAATCTAATTATGTACTAGGCTTCTGTAAACCTGTCAGTGGACAATATGGGATACCCAAACCGGTTATCCTTAAGTTGTCTTTCAAGTAGTAGCTGTGACTTTTCTGGGTACCCATCAGTACTAGGACCCGGTGAGCTGACTTCAGTGCTGCAAATCCAGAGAAACATGCCGCGCTCTTTGCAGCGTGCTGTGGCTTTCGTAAGCTCTCACAGATGGCTAAAAGCTTCATCCTAAAATTAGGATCTGATCTACGTGCAAACGCTTACTTGAGTGGGAAGGAAATTTTTTTAGGGTGTGGGACGCTATGTTTCTTATCAGCGCTTCCCTCACCTCAACTCCATTCCTTGTGTAAGAAGTCCTAGCCATTCCTCGAGGGAGGCGTGATGACATTGAAACGAAAGAAGGGGTAGAAAGCTTCTGCCGAGTATGGAATCATTCAGCGCCCATCGGTTTAGGTGCTCCGGCGGTGGGTAGCAGTATCGCGGTTAGGCTGATGCTTGGCAGCACTGTGAGTGATGATCTTGCTGTGGTAAATAGGAAAGATTTGCAGGATTCCCTAAGGGATGGTTTGAATCTGAATCCTTCTCCAGCTTCAGTCTCCACAGGTAGAGCTCTTTGATAGGAGCTTTTTTCCCAGTTCTCGTAGGCTTCATTTCTGAGCTTTG